TGTGTTTACCTAGACCTATTTATGGTTACTCTCTCCGTTTTTATAACTTCTCATAGTTAACACTACAGATACAGGTTTATATAACAGTGAGTAGGTCCTAAACAATGTCAGACCAAAGAGATATTCAGGAGGGTCTTTGAAGAAGTCGCCAAAACTATTCAGTAATGTATTATAATGTAGGGAAGGACCTTCGTTAGTATTTTGAATACAGGGACTGGTTGGTATTTGGCCTGACCAATAAATCGGATTCATGTGACATGAACGATGGCCGTCTTGGAAATGAGTGTTATTACTACTGGAGTTCGGATTTCCACCAATGTTTTTGTTTCGACCAAAACTGTCACTATTGAATGCTATTTGCCTTACAAGCGGAAGTTCCATCCCCGCCACAGGAGCCTCTTACACGCAATTCAAATAACACCGTAATGTAAAAAATCTTACCTGTTTCTTTGTTCTATAAATAAGAGACATGCGTTACAGCCGAAAATAAATATACTACTCTTCAAAGTAACATACTGATAAAAGTCTGTTCAGTTTTTGTATGTAGGAGAATGTGCAGGTCTGGGGACGAGTGATGCAAACATCGTACTGATAAAAGTCTGTTCAATGTAGGAGAATGTGCAGTAATGTAGTGATGCAAAATCGTACTGATAAAAGTCTGTTCAGTTTTTGTATGTAGGAGAATGTGCAGGTTACAGCAAACATCGTACTGATAAAAGTCTGTTCAGTTTTTGTATAGGAGAATGTGCAGGTCTAGTGATGCAAACATCGTACTGATAAAAGTCTGTTCAGTTTTTGTATGTAGGAGAATGTGCAGGTCTGGGGACGAGTGATGCAAACATCGTACTGATAAAAGTCTGTTCAGTTTTTGTATGTAGGAGAATGTGCAGTTCTGGGGACGAGTGATGCAAACATCGTACTGATAAAAGTCTGTTCAGTTTTTGTATATAGGAGAATGTGCAGGTCTGGGGACGAGTGATGCAAACATCGTACTGATAAAAGTCTGTTCAGTTTTTGTATGTAGGAGAATGTGCAGGTCTGGGGACGAGTGATGCAAACATCGTACTGATAAAAGTCTGTTCAGTTTTTGTATGTAGGAGAATGTGCAGGTCTGGGGACGAGTGATGCAAACATCGCCAATTTAGACAAGCGTTGCTACCTTCAAGGCTCCCGTTTGTTGACGCTTCATCTTATAACAAAGCTCATAGCCGTAGACAATATATTAAATGGTATCACATACATATATCTCACATGAAAGGGTTAACCAAACCTGATAAAAGTACCTCTGGCTGGTAAAATGTCAGGTTTTCTTATTGTCGTTTAGAGTCAATAAAAAAGAGACGCTATGAAAACATTAAAACGAGACAGGTATAACAATACCTTCACAATATTCAAATATTGTAAGTACACTAACACTTTATTTAGATTTAACAAATATCTGTAAAATATTGTAGCTTGCTTTGAGAAAAACAAGTTGTCCACGATTGAAGTCACCGAATATTGTCTCATGTGACACTTCACGAGTACAGATGCACTAAGTAATAGGGTTGTTGATTTTATTGACCGTTTTCAACAATTTAAATCTAGATGTTCAATGTGAAATTGATAACAAAAAATCTGATAACATAACCATTTGAAGATTAAGGTGTGACGTTTCGATGACTACACGGTCATTAAACGAAGTTGAAACTCTGATAAAGAAACCTATTAATAGCATTTCCAACGTTAAAAAAAAACTAAAGTCTGGAATTTAGTCTGATGATGTTCTTATACACAGAAATTCCTTTGATATGATTACAGAATTGAATGTTCGTGATTTCAATTAATACATGATATTGTTAATGACATGCAGTCCTCGGTGATTTCTATAGATCACGGTATAGAAGTTTTTTTATCTATTTTAAACGAAATATTTAGTACATGCTGTAGATCATATTCGACTCGTCCATCTTACAATAAAATAAAACATCGTGTTCACAAGCCCTGGTTTAATGATAAATGTAGACAGCTTTACATCTTGTTCGACGTAATTTATTTTCTTTTAATTCAGAAAAAAAATCCTGCCGACAGTTGGATCCAAGCGTAAGTGCATGTACTTAAGATGGTGACCTGTGAGTCTGTTACGTAGACCATCCAAATTGCTTTTATAAAGAAACAGGATTGACCGAGAAATCAGTTGAGCAGTGGTGAATTTTTTAACATATCAAAGCAATAGATAGTGAGGATGACATTAATTCTTTTGTTAATATGTCATCAGATTTTCCAGACTACGATAATTCATAGGTATATGAAGAATAGGATTTTCCAATTATAAATACTGAAAAAATTAATGTATTAAAAATTGCCAAATGAGGTAACTCTCCCGTCATCGATAACATTCTTAACGACTTTTATTTTGTAAAACATAAGACGACATTCGTTCCTATTCTATTTTACACTTCTCTAGTGTTCTTTTTGATACGGGGGTCTTTCCCTCAGTGTGGTCAGGGGATATTTTTTTCTTTGTGGTCAAAAATGGCGATGTCAATGATACAAATAATTACAGAGGAGTCATTTTGGTAAGTTGTTTATTTAAATTATTTACTTCTGTTTTAAATAATAGACTACTAGAATGGTCTCAGAAGTACAACATTGTTACCGATGCCCACTTTGGGTTTAAGTCTGGGTTTAGCAATAATGAGGCTATATTTTGCTTTACATGGGGTAATTAAGGAAATGCTTTCTAATAACTGTAAACTTTACTGTTGTTTTGTTGACTATTGTAAGGCCTTCGATAGTGTAAATAGCAATAGATTATTATTGAAACTTTTACGTAGTGGAGTCAGAGGAAAATTATCGAATATTGTAAGATCTATATATGAAGGTTTAAAGTCTTGTGTTAAGTATACGTTGTCTGTTTTCTCTACATGCTCACGAGGATTGATGCAAGGGGACAGGCTATCTCCCTTCCTTTACTCCATGTATGTGAATGAACTTGTAAATAAACTTGTAAATATTCCCTTTAACGCTTGATTTTTAAGAGATATTTCTTTGTTTCTCCTTATGTATGCAGATGACACGTCTTCTTAGAATCTGTCTCTGGTTTGTAAAAAATGTTAGACTCTTTCAAACAGTGTAGTGATAATTAGGATCTAACAGTTAATACAGAGAAAACAAAAATTGTTGAATTTCGAAATGGTAGAACATTACGAGCTGAGAAGAAGTTCTGTTCTAACGACTGTGAAATGAAAATTATTGACAGATTTAATTATCTTGGTGTATTGCTTAATTTTAATGGCAAGTTTACAAAAATCTCAATTCACAATTCATGAATATGGTCAAAAATGCGTGTATAACGTATAACTTGTAATAATTTGTCACTCAATGTAGAATCAAAACTCAATGTTTCTGATGTATATGTTTCCCCTGTTCTTGATTATTGTTGCGAAACATGGGGCGGTTTAACGCCGCGGACACAATAGAAAAACCTACGGTACATGTTAATTATTGAAGAAGAATACTAAATGTAAAAGATAGTACGTCATCTTTCATGGTATACTCGGACACTTACCTGTGTATATTATTAGGAAATGTCAAATAATAGAATATTGGTTGAAATAAATTAAATTTGATAATTGTGTCCTTATGTCAATTACAAAGAAATGGAAGAATGTTACCACAGAAACTGTAACTGTCGTTGTCAAGTTAAAACAATCTATTGTCCTCCGGTTTTGATAACGTCTGGTTAACTTATTGATATTGAACAGGCAATTTACATTGTTTTAAGCAGCGTTTGATAGATATTTTTCCAGATAAGGAAGGAGTTTGTTGAGCTGTCGACAAAATGTTCCTAGAGAGAACAGGCTATGTCGGTTTTTTAATCACAACCAGGAAGAAGACATGTTCCATTTTATTGTGATCTATCCACTGTATGTAGATATTTGTATAAAGTTCATGAAAAAGAATTATTGGAACCGTCCATCTTCATATAAACTTGTCCATCTGCTATCTGTATGTAACAGAAAGGAACTTTGTAACTTAGGGAATTATCTACAATCAGGTTTATTAGTGCGGTCTAGATTCCAACTTTAATCATCGAAAAATGAAATCTTTTGACCAACTGGATGGAAATTCCCCTTTAACAAAAATAGCATCAAATAATTTTGAAAGTAGTGGAATAAACACTTTGAATTTTAAATATCAGGTGACTTACAAATTTGGCACATTTTAAAACATCTCTGAATTCACCTTAAACAGGTACATTATCTCCTGCAGACAAAATATGTGTTGTCATCGTTATTACCACCATCGCTTCAAAAAAAGTCGGAAAGATTCAGGTCACTGGAACAATAACTAGATTTTCTCTTTAAATATTGGTAAGATAATTTTGGATTTGTCCTGCGTAACTTACTAATACGGTCACCCTCTGAGGTACCTCCGCTTAACAAGTATTTCATAACGTTTATATTTACGTTTTGATTTGACAAGGGATAATCTGTTAAATGGAGACATATCAACAATAAAAGAGGTAAGATTAGGTCTATAGGAGTGATACAGTCGTCTTATCATCAAACCATGTTGATAACCGTATACTTCAGTTTATCACACTATTACAACCAGCAACTTTAATAGGTTTCCCGGCTACGTCAGCAGTATCTCCTATCAAACTAATGCTATTAAGAGGAACACCAAAGTAGTAAGTTTCCATACTGAAAAAGTTACATTTTAAGAAATTTTGAATTGAATGGCAACGTCTATTTTCATGAAAGTGTTTTTCAAATAATTTTGTCCCTACCGCTATGCAATAGAAGAAGACACCACTCCCTGCAAAGCTGCTTTCCAGGTATCATGTGACATATAAAACTAAACACTATATTTGTATGTTGTCTAACTGATACTGTAGTCACCTGACAGTGATATGGTCGACAGCAGAAACTTATGTATGGTTTGATTTAATCGCGTACACTTACTATAACAGCTGATTCCAGCATTACGTTCACTCGCTATTTCCAGAGGCAGATATGATCACGTTGGCATTGTTCAGTTTTGTTGGTCTCATCGCTCTGAGTCTTGGATCAAAATGTTGCTCTCCTCCACAATGGGAACGTGGCGAGCATATAGAAGGGACAGAGTTTGTCAACGGGACAATGTCTCCTTTCCAGGTATGTCTTTAACCGGTAGGGCGGTACTGATCACGGCATTATCTTCATCTGTCAACGGTTTTATTTTGTAAACCAGTGACGTAAAAGAAAAACGTTAAACAAAACAGAAAAAAGGCAACTGATACATTGGAAAACGTAATATCATTCAGTTGAGTTTTGCACTGATCCAATTTTATCGATATGTAAAGTGTATAGTTTTCAGCTCTTATGTTGTGCTATTTTTAAATTCTGACGTATAATGATGACCTGCTTGTATTAAAGCTATTTATATCCAAGAGATGTCCTTGTCCACTAAGATTATCTACTGTAATTTGTGAGGCGAAATGGTCCGTTATTGTAATATGAGTTTTGACAACTTATGAACGAGTTAAATTAATGTGGATACTTGTTAAAAACTATTTTATTGTATTGTCTGGATGTTGTAAAGTCCTCGATAAAGACACAGCAATGCTATCTCTATATGATTTACACAGGGAACAGCGCGGACAGCATATGATGCAAAGAATCACAAGTTTATGACTAAATTCACAATGATGAGAGGCAAGGAACTAGAGAAGAAGCACATTTTGAATGACTACTCAACCGTGAGTATATAGGAAATTTATAATCAGCACTTGTTTCAAATCGATAACTCAGTGTGAACTAGTTTGCTTATTTCTCAGTAACTTGAGTGTATGTTAGAACATAACCATCCATCACGTATTAATAAAAACGTTGGCGGTGTTTACAAACAAAAACCAATAGGTAGACTAAATGATTTATTCTATAAAATTATTTATGTGATTAAAGTGCAGAAACGTTTTCTATTGTTGTAAAGTTAAAGCAGGCATTATTTTAATTGTCTGTCAATGGCATTGTAAATGTTTGTTGTGCATGGATAAACATGACGTGAAATTAATTTCATGCAGATAACGAATGCTAAATATTTATAAATTGCTTTTAATTTATCTTAATGAAAACATTTTATGATATCGTAAATTTGATTTAACAGTCGGTAAATTGTCCGTAAACGCGTTTACGCAATTTATCTCGTGCTCCATTAGACTTGTGATCTCATGAACTAGACAGATATAACATTAACTATTAAACCATACATGATAAGGGATCATTTAAACGTTTGTATCTGTTATCAACCACGTCAGAGTTACTGTTTCAGTGAGATTTCTTTAAGGTTACCTCAGCCGTATCTTATTCAGTTTTAAGACGTTTACCATAATCTGAATACCACGTCAGAATCCTTACAAATAGCGACACTTATTCAGTCCATACACACATGTCATAGGTAATTCAATATTAAAACTGGTCAAATAGACAAATGAATACGATTGTTTGGCAAAGTTCTATACCAAGCATATGGTAAAAACTATTTACATGGGTTCATTTTCGAATTTCTACATTTACCCACAATAATTTTATTTCATGCAAAGGTGTCCTCTCTTTAGAAGATTCAATTTGAACGCCTCTATTATATTTTGATAAAAACAGGGGATGAAATATGTCGTGACGAATGGCAAATGTATGAAGACCGAGCTGTCAGGCCCGTTCCCCGAAGATTGTGTTCCAGGTAGCTTATTTATTTATTTATTTATTGTTTTGAGGTATATTCTGACAAAATTAGCTTCATAATTACATTTGTAAACCTGTGTCCTAGGGTTGGTAATATTCAGCATTGAATTGTCTCGTAATAACATTTTAAGTTGTTAAAACTACCTCTAAATATACCACATTGTACTATTACACGATATCACGTTTAGCATAAAATGACCTGCAAAGCTTATAGTTCATCGTCGTTTCTTTGTCAATAATAATGACGGTACAAACGTCAAGCATTGGAGGTTATCTATGGTACTTTAAGTCAAACTGCTCTATGGTTAATCTAAACATTCAATTATAAATGTATGTGATTATTTACTTTCAAATGGTACAATTAGTAAGGTTTTACTTATCGTTCTTCTATAGTAATGTGATTTGTTGAAACTGATATTTGTTGTTAGAGTGACGACTGTGAGATTGACCGTATTAGTAAGTTACGCAGGACAAATCCAAAATCATTTTACCAGTATTTTAATAGAAAATCGAGTTCTTGCTCCAGTGACCTGAATCTTTCCGACTTTTTTGAAGCGGCTGTTTCGGCTGGTTATCATATATATAGTTTGTTGAAATTTGTTAGTACTGACCTTTCTGATGTATTGTAAAACGAATAACTGAAACATTGCATAATTTTAATATTGAGTTATTCTTTTCAAGTATAATGTATATAATAATCAAAATCTTAATTTGATTTAGAAATTAGGTATTGCAACAGCATATTGGTTAGAGCATTGTTTTACATATGACTTATCAGTGCGGTTATCAGTTTATAAGCGTAACGCTTTACAGATGAAACCTAATTGGCTTATACGTAATAAAAGGGTTATTCGTAATATCAGTGTAATACTATACAGATGTGTTAACTCTGAAGCCTCAGGCGGTTATCCAATGTGTTATGACAATATTTAACTATTTAACAGATGAAGCCTCGGGCGGTTATCCAATGTGTTATGACAATATTTAACTATTTAACAGATGAAGCCTCAGGCTGTTATCTAATGTGTTATGACAATATTTAACAGATGAAGTCTCAGGCGGTTGTCCAATGTGTTATGACAATATTTAACAGATGAAGTCTCGGACGGTTGTCCAATGTGTTATGACAATATTTAACTATTTAACAGATGATGTCTCAGGCTGTTATCTAATGTGTTATGACAATATTCAACTATTTAACAGATGAAGCCTCGGGCGGTTTTCCAATGTATTTTGGAGTCGGTGATAATAAGATCAAAGTAACAAACTACATATTGACGAGTCCCAATAGGTCGACGTCTTTACTGGTCACAGAGAACTGTGTTCCCTTTTCTAATTCCACGACGAGCACAGAAGGAGAATGTAAGTAACTACTGCAATTTACCTGTCGAGGACAGCCCAGTTCTGGACAACTTACCCCCTTTTTCACGAAAATCTAGAAGAGAAGAAAGCCATTTGTTGTATATCTATCATGTGATAATGAAACATACCATAGTTGTAGGAATTATGAGAAAAAAAATCCTGTCTTTAACTATTTCTTCTAATATCTATGTTTGGATTTTGATGTTTTATTTTCTTTTTTACTTCATCAATTCCAATTTGTTATGATACAATCGAATTAATTTCGACAGTCGTCCTTATCAATAAAAATCATCAAGAAATTACCAGCATGTCAACATAAATCATATTCAAACCCAAATTCCATAAAGCTAAGGCAAAATATGAATAAAAGAAAGATTTACAGGGAGACTCCTGAAAAATACAAGGAGGAAAAGACCAGGTGTTCAGGAAGAGTAAGCGTCATCGACAATACCCGCCATGTAAACAGCATCAAATACGTCCAGCTTCATGTCGCACATGTAACTACCATAGGGTGTAGATGCAGGGATATTGCTATCCAGAAATGGATAATTCACAATAGCGAAATTGAAATCATCACGTTTATCATACAGCTCGATGTAAAGCTGTCCATATTGATTCCGTTGTAGGAAAAGATCGAGATAAGCAGATTTTAAAGAGAAAATAGTGTCTTTGATTTCCAGTTCTGGTGGATATATACGATGGACGTAGTTATTACGTTTCTTGTTATTTAAAGACAAGACGTCATCAATATATGTGGAGGTAAAATAAAACGACTTTACAAGGTGTTTGTGACCTGTTTGATAAGCTTTTCAAAAAAATAAGTCTCGTTATTCCTTCACTTTAGTACTCCTTATCTATAGTAGTCCTTACCTATAGTAGACCTTACCTATAGTAGTCCTTATCTATAGAAGTCCTTATCTATAGTAGACCTTACCTATAGGAGATCTTACATATAGTAAACCTTACCTGTAGTACTTACCTATAGTAGACCTTACTTATAGTAGTCCTTATCTATAGTAGTCCTCATCTATAGTAGACCTCACCTATAGTAGATCTTATATATAGTAAACCTTACCTGTAGTACTAACCTATAGTAGACCTTACTTATAGTAGTCCTTATCTATAGAAGTCCTTATCTATAGTAGACCTTACCTATAGTAGATCTTACATATAATAAACCTTACCTGTAGTACTTACCTATAGAAGACCTTACTTATAGTAGTCCTTATCTATAGAAGTCCCTATCTATAGTAGTCCTTATCTATAGTAGACCTAACCTATAGTAGATCTTATGTATAGTAAACCTTACCTGTAGTACTTACCTATAGTAGTCCTTACTTATAGTAGTCCTTATCTATAGTAGTCCTTATCTATAGTAGACCTTACCTATAGTAGTCCTTATCTATAGTAGTCCTTATCTATAGTAGACCTTACCTATAGTAGATCTTACATATAGTAAACCTTACCTGTAGTACTTACCTATAGTAGACCTTACTTATAGTAGTCCTTATCTATAGTAGTCCTTATCTATAGTAGACCTTACCTATAGTAGATCTTATATATAGTAAACCTTACCTGTATTACTTACCTATAGTAGTCCTTACTTATAGTAGTCCTTATCTATAGAAGTCCCTATCTATAGTAGTCCTTATCTATAGTAGACCTTACCTATAGTAGATCTTATATATAGTAAACCTTACCTGTAGTACTTACCTATAGTAGACCTTACTTATAGTAGTCCTTATCTATAGTAGTCCTTATCTATAGTAGTCCTTACCTATAGTAGACCTTACCTATAGTAGTCCTTATCTATAGTAGTCCTTATCTATAGTAGACCTTATCTGTAGTAGTCCTTACCTTTAGTAGACCTTACCTATAGTAGTCCTTATCTATAGTTGTCCTTATCTATAGTAGACCTTTCCTATTGTAGTCCTTACCTATAGTAGATCTTACATTTAGTAGTCCATATCTATAGTAGACCTTACCTATAGTAGACCTTACCTATAGTAGTCCTTATCTATAGTAGTCCTTACCATTAGTAGACCTTACCTATAGTTGTCCTTACTAAAAATAGTCCTTGTCCATAAAAGTATATACATACCTACTTTTCCGGATAAAAATATTCATTCTGTTACGCAATAAGGATAATCATTTACCTGAAATCATAGGAATCACAGGAAGTTAAAATTCTTTCTTATGTACAACCATAGAAATGTAGGTAATCTACAGATTGATTGAAACAATATACCCATGTTTTTTTTTCTAGCTCCGTTTTCTGTTGCTATTGGATATAATGGGACAACACTCGGTATTTCTGATCCCTCCGTCTTCGATATTCCTCCTGCATGTTCTCATGATGACCACACCGTCACAGGTAAATATAAGAACTACGTCATGATATATGAATTATATATTCATAGGTATTGCGTTACACAGCCACAGGTAACAGTAAGAACTACGTCATACAGTTTGAGAAAAGCACGTCTACTATATCCTACAAGTAATACACAGTCACGGATATTATGTATGCCAGTCTATATTCATAATGTCACAGTTTATATAATACGTATTATACAATGTGCTATGTGATAAAACACAGACACATATGAGTCACATGACATATTATTTCAGGAGTCCAATTATGAGCACTACATCACACAAGTACTTCTCTCCGTTATTTTGTGTGGCCAGATGTGGAAACTATATCACACAAGTACTTCTCTCTGGTATTTTGTGTGTCCAGATCTGTTATTTTGAGTATCCAAATCCCTCTATCATTTTGAGTATCCCAATCTCTGTTATTTTGAGTATCCAAATCTCTCTGTTATTTTGAGTATCCAAATCTCTGTTATTTTGTGTATCCAAATCTCTCTGTTATTTTGAGTATCCAAATCTCTCTGTTATTTTGAGTATCCAAATCTCTGTTATTTTGAGTATCCAAATCTCTATTATTTTGTGTATCCAAATCTCTGTTATTTTGAGTATCCAAATCTCTCTGTTATTTTGAGGATCCAAATCTCTGTTATTCTGAGTATTCAAATCTCTGCTATTTTGAGTATCCAAATCTCTCTGTTATTTTGAGTATCCAAATCTCTATTATTTTGTGTGTCCAAATCTCTCTGTTATTTTGAGTATCCAAATCTCTGTATTATTTTGAGTATCCAAATCTCTGTTATTTTGAGTATCCAAATCTCTCTGTTATTTTGAGTATCCAAATCTCTCTATTATTTTGAATATCCAAATCTCTGTTTTTTTTAGTATCCCAATCGCTCTGTTATTTTGAGTATCCAAATCTCTGTTATTTTGAGTATCCAAATCTCTCTGTTATTTTGAGTATCCAAATCTCTCTGTTATTTTGAGTATCCAAATCTCTGTTATTCTGAGTATTCAAATCTCTGAGTATTCAAATCTCTGTTATTTTGAGTATCCAAATCTCTATTATTTTGTGTGTCCAAATCTCTCTGTTATTTTGAGTATCCAAATCTCTGTATTATTTTGAGTATCCAAATCTCTCTGTTATTTTGAGTATCCAAATCTCTGTTATTTTGAGTATCCCAATCTCTGTTATTTTGAGTATCCCAATCTCTGTTATTTTGAGTATCCCAATCTCTGTTATTTTGAGTATCCCAATCTCTCTGTTATTTTGAGTATCCAAATCTCTGTATTATTTTGAGTATCCAAATCTCTATTATTTTGAGTATCCAAATCTCTCTGATATTTTGAGTATCCAAATCTCTCTATTATTTTGTGTGTCCAGATCTCTGTTATTTTGAGTATCCAGATCTCTATTATTTTGTGTGTCCAAATCTCTTTGATATTTTGAGTATCCAAATCTCTTTTATTTTGAGTATCCAAATCTCTGTATTATTTTGAGTATCCAAATCTCTCTGTTATTTTGAGTATCCAAATCTCTGTTATTTTGAGTATCCCAATCGCTCTGTTATTTTGAGTATCCCAATCTCTGTTATTTTGAGTATCCCAATCTCTGTTATTTTGAGTATCCCAATCTCTCTGTTATTTTGAGTATCCAAATCTCTGTATTATTTTGAATATCCAAATCTCTCTGATATTTTGAGTATCCAAATCTCTCTGATATTTTGAGTATCCAAATCTCTCTATTATTTTGTGTGTCCAGATCTCTTATTTTGAGTATCCAAATCTCTCTATTATTTTGTGTGTCCAAATCTCTTTGATATTTTGAGTATCCAAATCTCTTTTATTTTGTGTATCCAAATCTCTTATTTTGAGTATCCAAATAACACACATAACTCCACCTGGCTCAAACTTTCGTCGTTTATGAATAGTTAAATTAAGGACAAATTTTCGCTAATTGCTACGTGATGTGATGTTATTTTCGGCTTGTATCGTTTAAAATTCATTTTTAGTGCTAGGTTATGAAGGATCCTTCAAAAACTGTAATCCTGTATACCTATAGTTAGAATGGCTTTGAATTAGACGTAAAGGATACAAGTTTTCCTCATTATCATTCCATGAACAATATATATATGATATATGAGAGAGACGATTTAATTTCAGTTTCGAAATATTTTATTGACATAACGACAAATGGTTTGGACAACAAGTAAAGCATATGAAAGTCCTAGTAACAATGATGCAAACATGGACATATTATAACACATTATATTTCAAATATTGAACAAAAGGACAACCCCGATAGATAAAAACTAAATATTTTCCTTTTCTTACCAAACTTTCACGCCTGTTAAAGGTATAGATTCGATTTCATGCTGTTTAACAGGTCTGTCATATAAGTCGATGATATATTCACTACCTTGATGTTACAATTATTTTTCATTTCAGGCGAGACAGCAAAAACTAATTTCCCAGTCTGTTGTTTTCCTAAACAGATAGAGTCACCTGGTGGCAGTATGGGTTTGGTAAATGTGAACGGCAAAGCACTGATGCAGCAGGTACAACATTTTTAAATGTATTTCTGTCAGTGAAACGTAGGACAATATTAATTTGATGAACAGTATCACTACTGTAGTGATGATACAAGAGATCTTACATATTCTCGAGTGATGATGATTTTTTGCTCGTGCAGGTTTTACTAACCAAAACATTGTTTTCAAGTCACGTATTAAAATTCACCAATTTTCCTGTGTGAACGCTAATGAACCATAGGTAGACTAAGTTGTTTTTGCCATTAAATAGTTCTCATGTATATTTCCAGCTTTCTCTCCTTTGGTATATTAAAACAGTTTTGTAGGCGATTTTCACCATATAACAGCACGAGATAGAAGAGAACAATATGACGCAGCCTAATCAAAATGGCGTCGACTTGTCAAGCGTAACGTCAAATGATCTAATGTCAAAGGGTATTTCCCAAAGTTTTCCACCGCTTTATTCTATGTTTGGATCGACGTTTTGGTTTTTTCGCTTTAAATAAGCAATAAAAAAGAATATTTCCCATTAAATATTTATTTCACTCGTATGACAGAATGTTGCACTCGTGAAAACTTTGTTCTGCTGTACACGTGAAACATATATGATATTTTAAAGGACATTTTTTTTCTGTTTTATAGACATCCTTCAACATGTCCTACGATACCATCAACAAAAAATCTGTAACAAAAACCTACTCAAAAACTGGTAATTACCCGACAACTTACGATATAGTGCTGAAGGATTTTGCTGCTGTAAGTTAAAGGTCTACGGTGGTATTATGGTTAAGGCTGCTTTAATGATGTACTTCTTTGAACAATATATACATGACCGTTGTCATCGATGAAACAGAAGCTTACCCATACCGAACACTTTGTCCCGTTTTCCGCTTACCCTTGCCGAACACTTGGTCCCGTTGTCCGCTTACTCTTGCTAAACTCTTTGTCCCGTTGTCCGCTTACCCTTGCCGAACACTTGGTCCCGTTGTCCGCCTACCCTTACCGGACACTTGGTCCCGTTGTCCGCTTACTCTTGCTAAACTCTTTGTCCCGTTGTCCGCTTACCCTTGCCGAACACTTGGTCCCGTTGTCCGCCTACCCTTACCGGACACTTGGTCTCTCATTGTCCTTGTACATTTTTGAAAGTCTCCGTCTAAATATTATTCATATTTTGCCCTTGTTTCAATTGATTTGAGCTCGAGTTGTGATTCTGTCAATGTCATTAGTAAAAAGAAACCTTGGCAGATAAACTTTCCCGAGTGTCTTTCTTTATAATTGTGTGTTTTGATTGGTATTTCCTGTCTGCTGTGTCTGACTCTATTTCTTCTGTTTGCGTTGCCTTAAACACCAATCGCTATATATAGATAAAATCGTCTTTTAAACAAGCTGAAGAAACAAAACTTTTGCCGAAAACTCCTTCGCTACTATTTCATAACATAGGCAGGAATTCATTATCGTGTTTTTTTTAATTTTGGATTGAATTTGGGAGCAGCAAGACAATTTGAAAAAAAGACCGTTTAAAAAGTTGCAGTTTTGTTCGGCGTTTATGTAAGATTGAATGTTAAGTACTAAATCTTAGGTATATTATGAAAAAGCGTTTTCAGACTTTCACGTTTGCAACCGAAACATGGCGACAAAATCGACGTTTTTGAACACATCGCATTTATCGATGAAATATATGCTCACCTGGCCTACCTATCACGACACCTTGCATTCAAGATGTTATCTATGAATCTCAATTCGCATTAGAGGTCATCTTTTTATCTATTGTGATTTAGAATGTAAATATTAATTATTTGAAAAAAAAACTTCACCACCGAAAATAAGTATTTTTCAAAATTGTCTTTTAGGGAGTTCAGTATACTATACAGAACGATGTGTGTAGAAAGAGCCCGCTCACAACTCCTATGGCACCCGATTGTACACCTGGTAAGAAGATTGATTGGCGAACAAATCTTGTTTTATATAGAATTCTCCTTTCCTTGTATGTTTGATTTGATACGTATTCATCGTGTTTCTGTCAGACAATTATTTCCACAAGATATAGAATACATCGAATATCTTTCAGTCTACAGATCTGTATGTTTAATATATATAGACGAATCTCATATAGATCGAAGATTTTAATGTACCGGTATGATTTGTATTGATGTACTCTGTATGATGTGTATTGATGTACCCTGTGTGTATTCTGTATTGATGTACCCTGTATAATGTGCATTGATGTACCCTGTATGATCTGTATTGATGTACCCCGTGTGTATTCTGTATTGATATACCCTGTATGATATGTATTGATGTACCCCGTATGTATTCTGTATTGATATACCCTGTATGATGTGTATTGATGTACCCTGTATGATCTGTATTGATGTACCCTGTGTGTATTCTGTATTGATGTACCCTGTATGATGTGTATTGATGTACCCTGTATGATGTGTATTGATGTACCCTGTATGATGTGTATTGATGTACCCCGTGTGTATTCTGTATTGATGTACCCTGTATGATGTGTATTGATGTACCCCGTGTGTATTCTGTATTGATATACCCTGTATGATCTGTATTGGTGTACCTTGTATGATGTGTATTGGTGTACCCTATATGATCTGTATTGATGTACCCCGTGTGTATTCTGTATTGATATACCCTGTATGATCTGTATTGATGTACCCCGTATGTATTCTGTATTGATATACCCTGTATGATATGTATTGATGTACCCTGTATTCTGTATTGATGTACCCTGTATGATGTGTATTGATGTACCCCGTGTGTATTCTGTATTGATGTACCCTGTATGATGTGTATTGATGTACCCTGTGTGTATTCTGTATTGATATACCCTGTATGATGTGTATTGATGTACCCTGTATGATATGTATTGATGTACCCTGTATGATGTGTATTGATGTACCCTGTGTGTATTCTGTATTGATGTATCCTGTATGATATGTATTGATGTACCCTGTATGATATGTATTGATGTACCCTGTATGATGTGTATTGATGTACCCTGTGTGTATTCTGTATTGATGTATCCTGTATGATATGTATTGATGTACCCTGTATGATCTGTATTGATGTACCCTGTATGATGTGTATTGATATACCCTGTATGATCTGTATTGATGTACCCTGTATGATCTGTATTGATGTACCCTGTGTGTATTCTGTATTGATGTACCCTGTATGATCTGTATAGATGTACCTTGTATTGATGTACCTTGTATGATCTGTATTGATGTACCCTGTATGATGTGTATTGATGTACCCTGTGTGTATTCTGTATTGATGTACCCTGTATGTATTCTGTATTGATGTACCTTGTATGATCCGTATTGATGTACCCTGTATGATATGTATTGATGTACCCTGTATGATGTGTATTGATGTACCCTGTGTGTATTCTGTATTGATGTACCCTGTATGAACTGTAGTGATGTACCATTTATTGATCTATCCTGTATGTTCTAATTGGATGTTATCTGTAAGCTACATGCATATTGAAATATTCTGTATGTTTTGTCCAGCTGACGCCACATTCAAGCCTGTCCTCTTGGGCACTGGTAACAGTACATTGAAAGGAAGAATGTATAACTACATAGCTGAGGGTGTTAACATGACAATTTTTGCGACAGAAGACTGTATCCCTTTCTCCGAGACATTGTATGGACACGCTGGACCATATGGTATGGGTTATATTGTCAACCAGAAAGTATATTTTTTCATATGAAAAGATACTTCTTTCTGGCAGTCACATTTTAAACATTAAAATAAGTTCTGAAATCAAAACTGTTTTAAAATGACGAACCATTGGCAATATAAAACAGAATTAATGCTGACTGTGTCAAAATTATTGAAATCACTTTCTTTGTCATCTTATGTAATCAGAAACGATGTGTTGTTACGTAAAGACAAAGATCTAATACATTATAACATTTACATGCTGGCAAGCTGAAACTTCGTTATCTCGGTATGATACTTTACAAAAGAAATTGCACAAAATCTACGTTAACACAAAATATATATCACAGTATCCATAAACATCAACAAACCATACCAATTCTTCAACGCACAAAGAAAATAGATGGCATAACGGTTTTTTTCTTTCCTCTCTCTCTAATTTTCGTTATTTTCGCCACAAGATTACAAATATTGAACCGATAGATCTTGAAGGAAAATATTTTCAGTTAACTTGTCTTTTAGCTCCTGCTCTTCAATGGCAGAAATTGAACATTGTGATATTTCTCTTTGACATTAAATGACTAGTTTCACGAAATAAACTTATCCTACGCCAAATTGTTTACCGATATAGTGATTAGTATCCTATTACTGTTTCATTAACAGATTATTGGATGACAATGGGTTTTTCTGCTTTGACCATTGGAATCAAAGACCCATCTGTGTTTGACGTACCTGCCAGCTGTCGAAAACTGGTAAGTACATTGTATTTTATTTGATGTCGGGTAGCTCTTGAGCACAATATCATTTTTTTAGTAAAATATCATGAAAACGATCCAATCGGAGACGATTGTTTAAAAGGTCATTGCATACATCCAGTAAAACCAATAAAATCTGAAAATATTATCATGATTTTAGACGACTTCCTACTAATGAAACGTTTGAACATAGAAGTCTTCACTCAGTTTTTATTATACAAAATTAACAATGTAGTATACATATATTTAACACAGACCAATCACCAGGATCCCGTGGTTCATGTCGGATAGTCACCGCACAATGGTCAACTCAACAATCATGAGGAGGTTCGACTCAACAATCATAACAATGGTCAATTTAACAATTATTACAAAGGTCAATTTAACAGTCATAACAAAGGTCAATTTAACAGTCATAACAATGGTCAACTCAACAGTCATTACAAATGTCAATTTAACAATTATTACAAAGGTAAATTGAACCGTGATACCAATTATAACTCCAAATCATTTTAAAGTCAACTCAGTTGAAAAGCATATTAAAAAAAAAGAACCAATTAAACCAATAAAATAATTTGTAATGTTTACTGTGTTTGTGACTTGTCATTAATCGATGCCTTCGGTGTACATGGAATAGTTGGCCAAATGGTAACATGGAGGTATGGAGATGTTTTCCTTTTCTTGTAGCACTCGAACTTAGAGAATAATGTAAAGAAATTTATTACATTTTTGTCAGTAAAATATAGAGAAATATCTCATTGAGAAAAGTGTAATTTTTTTTAAACAATAACATTTTTGGTTATCATTTCACTAGTCAAAAATACAAAAATGGACAAATTATAGAACCCGGTACAAATAAACCAAAAATCTGAAGGCGTTGTTTCCTAGTAACACCCGTCTTTTCGTAACTGTATGCCTGTAAGAGTTGTCGTTCTTGCGGGACGGTATATCAACTTCCGGGATTAAAGTAATAGTGCGATTATTTCTGAAAAAAATATTTATTGGCGATGGATTCTCTCATCATAAACTCTCCACCTTTGCCCATATCGCCCAGAACAACTGTAGAAGATATCATCAATCATACAAAAACGGAAAGAGTTTTTACGACAAAACAACCTCAAAATAAGCGGTAGCTAACTGATACTCTCCCAGCGTGTTGTCGACACGATTCAGGCACGGCGGATTACTGCAAGTGCTTCGTTTAACGGTAGGCCTAACGAAAACGTGAATGGCACTAAATTCTCATCTTATTTTGATGAAGTAGTCCCAATAATTAATGTGTGTAGTAATTGAACTGAACAATCTAATTCTTACCCAACAGTAACTGTTAAAGATGTTGAAAAGTATTTGATTCATAGCAGTAACAGGACTGAGGACTCTGAGAAAATGCAATGTTATCGCCAGTATATCCGTGGGCTCAACTTTTATAAAGAGGGATATATTCACAAGATTATGCTCAATGAAATAAGCGATGACAACAAACTTTGCTACATACGTTCCAAGTGCTACCCGTCCATGCAAAAGGGACTGTATGAAAAGTGGATCTTGGCTACTAAGTGATAAAAGCCCACTGACCATGTCCAGCGGGGTAAGGAGTATAATTTAAATACTACCCATCATTTAATTTATATAAATATAATTGTATACATACTCATTAATGTTATAATATTGATAATGTAGTAATTATTTATTACTAGCACAAATCGCATATATAATAATGAACATATAAATGACGGCCACACAGGTCCGGTCCTTCCAGACACACAGTCCGGGAAGCGAGACACAGGCACAATCGTTCCCGCACGGTAGGCTGTCTGTTCTCGAGTCGACTCAATATCTCTCTCCGCGCATAAGAGTTCCCGCGCAAGGGGAATAACTCAAGTGGTCGTTACCACAATAATATCAATATACTTATACAGGCTATATAAGTATTTTTTTCATTCCACTCTACAACAGTACTTTGGATAATTTGATTCAATTACATAAAGTTTTATTGGGAAACACAACTTTAATCAGATATTTTAGCTTATTTGTAAAGTAAGTACAAATCTGATAGAAATGTGAACTGCTGAGTCTGTTTTCTTGGGTATAGAACAAATAGTTTTAGAGGTAATGGAAACCTGCCTCTGGTGAGACTTAAATCTGCAACTTTGAGGAGAGCTGGATGCCTAAGGCTATACAACCATTACTTGCTGTAAATAAAGATCTGTATATTTCAGGTGTGGGGAGGCTGTACGCATGTAGCAGGGCTATTGTTTGCACTGGAAGGTCGGCCAGGAAAGAAGGTGTTGGATGAGATGGAAGAGTTACCCTGTACATCCAAGCCTTGCCAATGGAACAAGCCGAGCTAGAGGAAAAAGGAAACAATGGCAATTAATGACATAAACTTTAAAAGAATAAAATATGAAAAACACATCATTTAGAAATTCTTTATGTGCCAAGCTTGGGAACAACTCCAGGGCTGCAATATTTAATATCATCCCTCTGGTATCGGAACATAATATCGATGTAGAAAGTGATTTAAACATCTCGAATTTTGAAGAAGTTGAAACAAGTGAACATATTGTCTATGAATCAGATTCATATATAGATTTAATGAATACAGTTAAAACTGTACCTGAATCAGAATACGTAAGTTTTTTATGCACAAAAGAAAAAGGACAACATGAAAATCCACTCTGGTTAACAGCAAGGACAGGCCGAATTACTGCCGCTACATTTCATGACATAAAAAGCAGGAAAATTTCTAATAAACCCGACAATATTGTTAAGAAGTTTTATGTCATAACCATGCATTTGACAACAAAACAATAGAATGGGGGAGGAAGAATGAGCCAGTTGCTAAGACGAGGTGTAAAGCCCATATGAAATTAAAAGAAAAGAAAGTTGTCCATATAATGGGGTTGGTTTTGTCATCAGAAAATACTTACCTGGGTGCAAGTCCAGATGGGTTAGTGAGTTGTGGATCTGAACAATACTTGCTAGAGGTTAAATGTCCCTATAAATGGAGAAATTCTTCTCTGTCTGATGCTTTAAAAGACAAAAACTTTTACTGTGCTGACAATCAAAAATTTCAATTGAAGAGGACCCACAGGTATTTTATTTAAGTGCAAGGACCAATGGGTGTTTTCAATATAAAAAAAAATGTTATTTTTGTCCTATATATTATCCCAGATTTGATTATCATCCGGTTGCCGTTGATAGGATGTTCTGGGAAAATATGCTTCAAAAGTTAAAAGATTTTTACAGTGTTGAAATTGTGTCAAAGATGTATGGTTAACGTAGAATTCATTATTCATGACTGGATATGCTGTATTTGTTTATTGTGTAATAACTGTTCAGAGTTGTTAACAGCAAAGAAAAGAACAGGATTATTTGTTTTGTTGAAGTTAAGAATGTCAAAATATACATAACTGTAGTGTATAATGATTTAGAATTATATCATCACATTAAAAAATACAAATTAGGTGAATTACGTCTTCATATACAGGTTCATTTACAATGAATTTGTTAAAAGGGAACCATTGATAGATGACTTTTAGAAAAGCGTTTTTTATTTACAGGTGACCTTTAAGGCAGGTTTGACTGTACTAGATAAAGTACCAACTTCGCTTAGAAGGCACATAAGAACTGCTTTACAGCTCTTTTTAAGCCAGAGTACCAGTGCTCATATCTTAAAATTTATTAACATGCATATTTCTTAAAATAAACAAGTACCAATTAGGTAGAATATAACATTTTATTCTGCAACAAGAGGAGGCAGCAAGTTAATCAAAGCTGTGCAAACAAAGAAAACATGGTCAGCATATTCGCTAAGAGCCAAAGGAATTACACCTTGCAAAATTCTAAAGTTTTTGATTTGTTCCATTTTCCTTTCCACATGTATACGGGCTGCAGCAATCCTTCGTGTAGTCTCAACTTCTCCTTTGCTGAACTGAACTTTGGTCTTGAATGGTGGGCTGTACAATTTCACACCTTTTTGTTTCAAATCGGATAAACCCTTTGTCAGCCATTACTGCATCCCCTTTCTCTAACTGATGCATCTTGTTATTTCTACATCAGAGGTGGAATCAGGCCATAGTTTTGACAGAAAAACCACTGCACCAGTGGAACTCACGCCAATTAAAGTTTTAAATGTATTGTGTGATTTGTAGCTAGAGTATGTTAATGATTTGTTTTCCAGTGACGATGTACTTTGAATAAATATTTCTGTGCAATCAGGAACAATTCTTGTATCAGAAAACTGTTTAAAAGACTGTGGCACTCGCATCTGAAGAATATTCAGTTGTGGTAATACAACAATAGACTGCAAGCACTCAGACATGAATAATATCCAGGAATTCAATATCTTGGATACAGTACTGGCAGAAATTTTTAACCTAAGTCCTTCACTAATAAACCAAGACGCAGTCTCATCATTACAAGTAGAAACTCGTCAATACGCCTTAGTTTCATTTTGCGACCCAGGCCATGTGTATTCATTTCACCTATAGCTTCTGTAGAATGTTTATCAGCACCCTGTTCCATTAGCGATTCAAACAAGGCATGAAAAGTTCAGGTAAACCAGTATAAAACAAGATCAAATCATTGGAGTGGCTGATACTCTATATAACTAAGTCCGGCATCCCAATTTCAGTGCCAAAATTTGTCACTGCCTGTGTGGCAAGTTTTGTTCCACTGCTGCTGCTACTGGCAGTCACCATACAAGTTCTGTAGTAGTGTTGGGCAGCTGAACTTGTGCATAGCTGAAAAAACAACAGGTCACAGGTGTTTAGGTTTGCACATATGTTATGTAAAGCATTAAACATAATTATATTAAAAATTTATAAATGAAATATGATCAACAAATCTACGTGTTATAGACAAAGATTCATAGGTTTAAATGTGCAAGCCAAATTAAAAACTACTAGGCCTTGATATTAATCCCTTGCATGACTTTTTGAAGTAAATTTATAGATATGAATATCATGTTTACTATGTGATTATTTTGCTATATTCTTTATCCATACTTAATGTATTATTATTACAATTATATTATAAATTTGTTAAGTTTATAATAAATTGTTGGTCAACTTGATGCCTTCTTCCTGATCCGATGTTAATCCCAAATGTTTAATGTATTTTGTATCTTTCACTAGTGCGTACCACTCATAAAAGATACTGAAATATTAGACACACTTGTGAAATGTATTTGTTATTACTTGAGACACCTTTGAATATCCTCTAAATATACGAATAGAATATAACATAATGAATACAACATTTTGGTATTCAGAATATCGTCACATCATTTTAGCAGTTATTTACAGTCAAAACAACGCTGAAACAATTATAATGAAATTAAAATATCTCGCATGCACATACACATATAAAAATCAATTTGAGTCGCGAGAGAATTGTTAACGTCAATTTTACAAAACTGGCAGAATTTAAGTGTTTATAAACTGAAATATTCCTAGCATCAGTCATGATGAATGATCAATAATGGTGATGATGACGATGATGATGCCAGCAAAGTCGGCAAAGCAAAGTTTTAAATTGACTTAAAATATGACCCAAAAAACATAAATCCAAAAGCATCACTGGCCCCAAAATGTCACAGTTCCTTTTTATTTGTTATTGACCCTTCCAGTGAAATAAGATACAGCTGAATTGGGAAAAGAGTTATTACAAGAATTTGATGAGTCGGAACAGAAGCAGGCGATTTTGTTACCATGTATCATTGAGGTAGAAGTGGAATCTCGTGTTTTCTTTTGCCAAATCAGCAAGAATTTGACAGTTTTTTAACAAACACGTAGCTCCCTTATGTCAAGTATGATACGTTGTATCAGTGTTAAATAATCGTCAGTAATTAACCACTGGTATATAATATACATTATTTTAGATAAGACCTTGGAATAAACAACACGTGTTGGTAAGTCACGGGTAGATGTACAAACTTGAAATGTCGGAGGTGTATTTAGGGAGGGTCGATAAGAGATATAAGATATAAGGTTTGTGAACATGTGTGTTCGGATTTGTAGGATTTTACATATATGCATGATGATTAAGTATTTGATTGATTTTATCTGGCATTGTTTTTGGACACGACAAGGGGATACCTGTGCTACATGTTCCGTGTCAGGGACATTTGACGACATCTTTATCTCAATGCATTGATCATTCCCACGAGTTATCATGCGAGGGCAAGTCGGGTTAACAGCTTCATTCACTGCTTTGTTTTGTTACGACACTGACGTTACAGAATCACATGCACATCAAGCAGGATGTATGATAACAAACATAACAGCATTAAGACCTCTATCACCAAGGATAAATTTTACACATTTGGAAAACCATGGAATTTTATACTAATTAAAATCTCCTATAAAGAGCTGTAAAATTGAAATCATTTAAAAAGCGCCTTTAAAGCAAATTTGCCAATAGTATAAGTTATCGGCAAGTTTCTCAACAATTTTAGAATGGACTGCGCATGAAACAGATTAACATAATTGGTAAGTAAAATATAATCTGATCAATATAATAGTTTTCAAGATGATTTTGCATTGAATATCACACCTAATAAATCATTTTTCTGGTGCCCTAAGCTGGAAAAACACTTAACATATGATAGTGATAGATATTTAACTTCATTACTTCGAATCAGAACATAAAAAACAATATAATGAAACGAACATCTTTGAGATTACTTTTGTATGGTAAACAAAGATTCCCTACAAACTAAAGATATTTAGGTTTGATCAAACAATACAGATCACGTGACACGACACTTTCTATTTACATATACTTTACCAGGAGTATATGATACAAACATGATAAAGTACAACAAACGAAGTAATTGAATAGGTTTTAATTCATATGATAATTCACAATATGATCTTGACATCGCTGATGAGTCCAAGGAGGACGAAACAACTGTATGATGCAGTTTAATTTATTGTTTGGCTCTAGTGTATCAAGCACATAACAACACAATTGTTGACTAATGTGAACTTTTATTTTTAAGATAATTTGGTCATAAGGACAAAGAAAACAAAAATCGATTTGCTTTTTTCCTAACATATATGTTTGTTTACGTTTGCTGTCATATTAAAACAAGTCAAAGTAGGAAAACAGACGAAATTGCTATAGTATGCTAGAAAATTAGTAGGTTTAATTAGACAATTAAATTTGTTTGAGCTTTAATGTTATTTTTTTTATTTTATTTGATTTATCAAGCACGGGTGCTTAAGGTATCATTTGATTGTCATTTCTGTTATGAAATGATAAATCAGCAAATTCTTCCTAAATTATATTCTAAATTGATTTGTGTCTAAGAATGAGAATCTGCAGATCTGCTGATATATTTTACAAATGAGCTGTGTTGCCTTGAACTCTCTGCTCATCCCAGTCTCTTGTCTTCGAGTATTTTGTTGTGAAAATAAGATATCCATGCCTTGTAAAATTAGGATTTGCAATCTTTTGGTTAAAAAACTGACCCAGTCAAAAGGTAACTTCCCACTGTGACATCTCTGTCCTTTATAAATGCGTGTTATATCATCTTATCAGCTACGACACAGTGACATCTTACCGTTGAACTGAATGTTACATGAACTCACCTAAAGCAATCGTCAAAGTGTTTACATTGACGGCGACTACTAGTATCACAAAAAAGCTCCTTTAGACCCTACTGATACGACGTAAGTACACTGATCAGGATAACTGACGCATCAGGTTCATCACGTTTAGCATAGTTTATAGAGTGTAGTGTCATTCACTCTGTCCTCCTTACTTGTGAATTTTTAATTGCACTGAAACAGGGTGTATCGACCTTCCATTCACATATTGATATAAAGTTGTACAAATTTCTTGAAGCATGTTCTGAATCGGTACTTAAACTGGGATGTTTTTGTTAGCATTATGTAACACCTTGTCAATGTTTTCAGCTTAACTCGGCCATATTTCTTGTATACTTCAGCTACATGATTTCCTTTATACAATACAATACAATAAGCTTTATTTTGTGTCGTATATGACAAACAAAGTCAACATTAGCTCAGAGGAGCTATTATACATACATATCAATATGAAAGAAAAAACAAAAACAAAATGTGAAACATACGTGTATGGACATAAAACATGCACAGAGTAGTAACTCGAGATGTTAATTACGGGATTTCCATTGATTAAAATGTACATAAAGACACAGCATATTTAAGTTATGAAAGCACTAATGGTTATAAATTAAAATGGCCCAGAGGTCTGGTAAGTTGGGCCAGTATAGTCCCCACAAACCAGGTCCCTAGTCCATAAAAAATGTATAGAAACAAACAGTAAGAAATAAACATTGGCAACATAGACCAAATGACAAACACACAGAAAGCAGATCAAGGTGTCATTTTGGCACAGATAGAACAGGAACATATCGGGCCATCCCAGGTGTGGATCAGCCTCCTGAATTCTGGGTAGTATTCACACTTCCGTAATTCATTCGGAAGGCTGTTCCACACCCGTGCTGCCTCAAAACTAAACGATTTCTGTCCATACTTGGTAGACTTTACATTTGGCACAGTGACTGTGTAGTCCTTCCTAAAATTATAAATAGACTCTTTAAATTTCACCAGATCTTGAATGTATTCAGGGGACAATTTTTATAAAATTTTGTAAACTTCACAGCCCATGTCTTTAAGTCTCTTGATGTGTAAAAGAGTAGTTTTACTGTTTGTTAAAAGCTGAATAAAAGACGACTCATAATCACTTTCAACAAATCTTAGAGCACGCTCATGGATCTTTTCCATCTTTCGCACACTTTTCATACTTGTAAAATGACAGACTAATGGGCAGAACTGGAAATTTGAAAGTATAAAAGAATTATATATAACTTTTCTGCCGTGTTTATTTAAGTAAAGTTCCAATTCTTTTCAGAACATTCAATTGTCTGGAGGCCTTTATACATAGCTCCGAGACATGAAAGTCAAAATTTAAAAGTGCATCAAAATTTTACAGTTTTCTCAGGTAAAATGGTTACATTATCTATTTTGAAATTTGCAAATGCCTCCATTGATTTTTTACCTACACATAGAGCCTGAAATTTTTCAGGATTTGCCCTCATTTGGTTCTTGTAAAACCATTTAACCAAGTTTGAACAGTCTGTTTCAATAGCTTTTTTTAGAGTGAGGGGATCTTTGCTAGAGTTACTGATGGTGTTATCATCAGCGTAACTATATAAGTTGGATGACTTGACATGTAAAAACATATCATTAATGAAAATATTGAAAAGTAAAGGACCCATGATTGAGCCTTGAGGGACACCTTTCAGCACTTTTATCCAGTCACCGCATTTGGAACCCAGCCTAACCTGCTGAATTCTGTCACTCAAATAGTTAGAGACCAGGTCTACTGAGCCAGAGCTCAGACCATAAACCTCAAGCTTTCTGAGCAGCAGATCATGAGGAAGGCAGTCAAAAGCCTTGGATAGATCCATGAGTATGGCGGCGACATACTCCTGGTTATCCAAGGCCTTTCGCCAATCCTCAGCTAATCTCATCAGGGTAGATTGACAACCAAATCCTGGTCGAAAGGCGGCTAGAAAGGAATTAAAAATATTACTGAAGTATTGCACGAGTTGGTCACTCATACTCCTTTCAAACTTTTTTGAGATACATGGCAAGATACTGACAGGCCTGTAATTTTGCTTATCCATGGCATCTTTCTTTTTATAGACAGGGACCACTTGAGCCATTTTAAGTTGACTTGGAAAAGTACTGGATTGGAAACTGAAATTGATCATATTGCAGAGTGGATGACTGATCCTGTTATTACAAGCCTTCAGTAGTCTGGCCGAAATTCCATCAAGGCCTGTTGCCTTTTTGGTACTTAACTGCTTTATTCTTTTGTGAACATACACAGCAGAAACTGGATTAAAATCAAAAATGTTATTTTCAGGACTTTTGATATTGGTAATGAAGTCGTCATCATCTGCGACATCACCACCAATATCACTAGCCACATTTACATAAAAGTCATTTAAAACATTACACACTTCAGTCTGGTCGCAAACAATTGTTTAATTTTCTTTCAAGATAATGTTATTGTCAGCACTATAGCCATTTTTGGAGAGGAAAGGTTTGATGGTGCCACCAGCACACCTTTCAATAAAGTAGTTTCTCAAAGACTGTTTTCGGATCTTCGTCACCAAATTTCTTTGCTGTCTATATATCTCCCAATTATGTTCTGTTTTGAACTTCTTATACTTGTTAAAAAGCATACGCTTACGATAAATAGCTTTACGAAGAGAGCTATTAAAAAATGGACATTTCTTTTGCCTCACCTGCTTTTCCTTAATGGGGGCATGCTCATCTATAACTTCCATGAATAGTTTTTCATGAGCCCAATAAATATCATCTACATCTTCAAAAAGTAGAATGAAAAGGAATGTTGCAAACATCATCATTAAAAGCTTTTTCATCAAAGTTTTTGAAACTTCTAAAACTTTTCTTTCCCTTGGGCCTTTAAAGACAGTAGTGATCATGTTATGCCAATCACTTAGTCCAGTGTTAAAAGACATGGTACTACATAAAAATTGACGACTATTAGTTCAAAAAATACATCAACTAATGATGGATTGCTATTTTTCATGAAGCAAGTAGGATTCTTAACTAGATTTGTCATGTCAAAAAGGTAATATAAATCAGATAAAATATTTTCTGATAAAAGCATATTTACATTCATATCCCCAGCTATCATAAAGTGATCATACTGTGAGCTGATTCTATCTAAACCAATTGTCAAATCGTCAAACACAGATGGTTTAGAGTTGGATGGGGGATTGTATACTCCTATGATGGCCGATTTCCTATTGTTGATGGTTACCTCCAACACTATAGACTCCACCAGCTGGAACTCTAAGTCAGGTCTATGTCTACAGGTAAATTAGAGTTTACAAAACACATGAGGCCACCTACACGGTCAGACATATCCTTACGAAACGTCCTGAAACCTTCCACTTGAAATAGGGATTGGTTAAAATGTTAACAGAAATCAACAAAGTAAAAACACTTTAGTTATGAACAGTCAAAACCTCCTAATAGGTCTTTCAAGATGGAAATAATTTAATTTACATGGTTTCATGGATCGATATTCAAGCTACATTTCCAAGTATACAAATCTTAAGTAAGATATCCTCACAAGTTATGCTGTTTGATAATGTTCGCCTATGACACATGAAATGAAAGCGAACCGGAATTAACGATACATTAAGATTGTTCCTAGCATGTCCTTATTTTTTATGCCTGAGGAAAAGATAAGACGTCCATAAAACAGTCTCGCCTATGGTGTTAGTTGTCTGCCTGATATGTACAGTGGCATAATGTATTTTTAATTTGATTAAAATACATATCTTAATTTACCTCTCCAATACTTTCCGTTCATTGTGATTGATAAGATAAGAAGGAATAATCTTATTCCTGGCAGTCAGGGACAATGACATTACCTATACACTGATGCTGTTATATTCTGTCGTCATAATCTTCTTCTAGCGTGTTGACATATTGGTATTTTATTAACTGCTCAATAAACACTATAATAACAAAACACTGACTAAATCAACTTTGTAAATCTCTCTAAATATGTTGAACCCACTGTAACCAGATCTAACCTTATGATTTTATTAAATATTATCGGTGAACATTGAACAATTAAAATATAGATACTGAACTTTGTGAAAGTCATTTTTGTATTACCTTCGGCTATTTTAAAGCATGCACGCGCTGCATATTTCTAAGTTTCACATAGACCGAAACGAGATATAAAGATATGACGAGTCATCTTTTATAATAAAAAAATGAGAGAAGAATTGAAGTTAATACGTAACAACTTGTTTATTAACAAAATTTGTAAAACAATAACAGCTATAAATTTAAACACGTGTATAACTTGTCATGAATAAGGTCATGATGAGTGTGATCAGTTATGTAGAAAAACCAGTTCCATCTTCGATAAATGAACCAAACTTTTTGAACAAGTCCAAATCTAATTACTTTTCGTTAATCACCGTCACAGACCGATATTTAGCCAAACGCCGGTTTATCGAGATGGTCCGGCAAGGTCTTCCCGTCTTCACTTAAACCCCTAACTTCAAGGATGGACACCGTACCACTGACTGTCCCCGTGCTCAGTAGTAAAGGTTTACCATTAGGGCTGTGTTGTGTAGGGACGAACCTGCAGCAACAGAAATACCACAACTATCATCTTAAACAAGTAGTCAATGACATCTCAGATTGATTTCTATATTTTTGTTTCTTAACATTTGTTATCAAAATATTGTCAGTTTCATATGTGTATTCTGTTGTATGTTCTCGGTGCCTCCCACGACCATCCATTCACTAGGTTCATTTGGAACAGCACGATATACATGCGAGTCAATAAACTAGCTTTTAACAGATTATGCAATGTTTCAGCAGAAAACGGAGAAACGTTTGAAATTATTGTTTGATGACAATGCCAGTCTTTGGCTTGGTTGGTAATTATAACATACGTACCTTAAATCCTCTGGATCTACAGAGCTGATAGCACGCTTATCGTACAAGTCACTAAAAGTCTCATCGGATCGTGTAATACCAGTCCACATACTCTCAAATTTCAAACTCGTGATGTCATCAGATATTGAGTAGACTGCGATTAAACCAGGCCTTTCAATTCCCAAAAAGACGAGCGTCGTATCACCAATCTGTGCGGCTTCAACACCTTCTACCTCAGGTCCCTATTTAAATCAAAGATTTGAAACTGTTCTATATCTTCAGATCTTATGCAAAACTTATTATTTCAATAAAGGTGTCAAATCAACTGGGTACTCTTTTTGTATTCATTGTTTTTCAAGTACTGCACACTACGATGTGAGAGTTCTTGTAATATTACTTGCGAGAAATTTTCCTTACTTTGTTAATATCGCAAGACAATAGAAGCCCATTAACATACATACCTTGTTATCAGATCTTGAATCTTTTGTTGACGAAACTATTTCATCGTTCTGCTTCCCATCAGCATTAAACATTGGTAAATGTTCCATTGCTATCATTTCCTCTACCTCACTTCCGGTGTCGTGCACGAGGTCAAAGGTAGCAAGATCAAAAATTGACATACTTCTTCCTCCGAAAGCGTACAGTACATCGTATGTGTTCCCAACCTTCCCCTCCAAGTTACTGACACTCAAGCGTCCTGTACAGTAGAAAGGAACGTCTTGATAGGTACATGCACCCTATAGAAAACCGCTTATTTTCTAATATCTCGATATTATCAAATAAAAAATTGAAACGGCAGTTGCGAAAATGTTTAAACAGTTTCCATATGTTTCATACTAGCATAAAATATTTTACAAAATCAAAGCACACTAAGTAACTCTAGACAAGATTAATCTAAACTTTAACCCAACTGTTTCGTAATTCATAGAGGAACATTACTGAATCTAAATTGTCGGAACTGCACAGAGTGAATTTGTAATAAATCAGAGTTATTGCTTGGGTGCCGTCATGTCACCCCGGGTACGTCAGCCGTCATGTCACCCCGGGTACGTCAGCCGTCATGTCACCCCGGGTACGTCAGCCGTCATGTCACCCCGGATATGTCAGCCGTCATGTCACCCCGGGTATGTCAGCCGCCATGTCACCCCGGGTATGTCAGCCGTCATGTCACCGCGGGTATGTCAGCCGCCATGTCACCCCGGGTATGTCAGCCGTCATGTCACCCCGGGTATGTCAGCCGTCATGTCACCCCGGGTATGTCAGCCGTCATGTCACCCCGGGTATGTCAGCCGTCATGTCACCCCGGGTATGTCAGCCGTCATGTCACCCCGGATATGTCAGCCGTCATCTCACCCCGGGTATGTCAGCCGTCATGTTACCCCGGGTATGTCAGCCGTCATGTCACCCCGGGTATTTCAGCCGTCATGTCATCCCGGGTATGTCAGACATCATGTTACCCCGGGTATGTCAGCCGTCATGTCACCCCGGGTATGTCAGCCGTCATGTCACCTCGGATATGTCAGCCGTCATGTCACCCCGGGTATGTCAGCCATCATGTTACCCCGGGTATGTCAGCCATCATGTCACCCCGGGTATGTCAGCCATCATGTCACCCCGGGTATGTCAGCCGTCATGTCACCCCGGGTATGTTAGCCATCATGTCACCCCGGGTATGTCAGCCATCATGTCACCCCAGGTATGTCACATCCGAACCACTTACCTAAATTATCGTTACTTTGGAGAGTTCCGTTAAATCCATTCCTCTCCGCCCATTTGGCGATCTCGGATGATTCTAAGAGTAAAGATGATGTACATTATCGTATATCACATATCATTAAAATATAGCATTAGCGTTAATGAATTACATAGACCTTCTATAGAAAGTACTTTCACAACTAAGCACTACCAGATTGACTTCATGAATGATAAGTTTCCCTGGGGATTCTGGTATACATGCCACAATTTTTGTCTATATATAAAGATTTCCATTCGTTTGTTGTCACGTCTTGTCCAGATACGTTCTAGATTGAATATGATGACTATTTGTGATTCCAAGGAGATTACAATTAGTTCCAGGATGTTAGTTTTAATTATTGTTCGATTTAACAATATGTTGATAGCTTTATATGTAACATATTAATAACCAATTTGTCAGAGGAAAACGAACCAAACCTTACCAGCAATTGCCAGATGGGACACTCGTGATTGTTCACTGAAACCTCCAGCCCCCGGAATATCAGAATAGTCCTTGGTGTCACCTTCGTTAGCTGTTAGTAGATAAGACTTATCCCCTAGATGGATCGCCTTGATAGAATCACATAGGTACATTCCCATCACAGGCCAAGCACGAATGTTCACAGCTATAGAACAAAACACAAAAGGATTTTACGGATTTGCAGGAAAATATAGCTACAATCACTTCCATTACAAAATGAAGATGTCCATTTTTTCTACTTTTCCCACTTATGCATGTTTCTTTAACATTCGCAAAGGAACGTCTCTTGTCAGATTTAAATATTTCCCATGAGTAAGCTATTTGTATATTTACCGTTATCTTCATCACTGGCATCTAACTTTGAGTTTGTCCAGTTTTTGTAACCTAGTGGGTGAATGGCAACAATTTCTTCGTTGATTATGTCCACTTCCGCTACAGCATTATTTTCCTGAGACAGAGAAATTTTACGTACGGAGTACTTCATATGAACTGTGTTTAAATCATTATTGTGTCCGTGCTCTGTATAACTAAATTAATGTAGCATGACTAACGTTCCGTTATATGTTCCTGATACTGTAAGAGGGAGAAATTAATGGAAAATAACACCAAATAGAAATTGTGTACTCAAGAAGAGAGCTCGTTCGCGCGTGTGTGTTTTGATTGAAAAGAAGAGATTTTTTTTAATCTTGGAATTTCAAAATCGGAAATATAATCATGATTTATATTTTAATTTTATTTTTATTTTTACGCGAATTACATTTACCTGTAGTCCTACATACGCGATCTTTTCATCCTTACTGAATGTGATAAATTCAGGTTCTACATCGTTGGAGAAGGAGTTGTTATTTTCCCTGTATACAAATCTGACTCCACGCGCTACGAGGTCCTGCCATCTAGGAAAAACCAATTATCGATCATGGTGATCATGGTCAGAAGTTGTTATTACGAATTTAATCTGTTAAATATTTGAATTTCTTTCTAATGGGACATATTTGAAACAATATCGTTTTTTGTTCCTGCTATGATTTAGTAATCATGCAGTAGACATAAGTACATTATTTTACACGAATTTCCATTTCATATGAAATTTATGAAACGAGGCTAATACGTTTTCATTTTATCTACCCTAAAGTGAACTAAGATAAAAGTAACAGGTTTTTAATCTTCTATAAATTACTTGTACAAAGATTAAAATTAAACTGTTCCCTTTGAAAGCCAATTTGGGGTCAATTCTTTTGAAAATTATCTTGTCATATGTATATATACTTACTGAGTGTTGAACTTTTTGAAGTCGAGTCTTGTGTAACTAAATTTACTCTCTGCACCTTGGAGTGGCTGGAAGTTGATCAAACCCACTGCACCCTCCGGATCGACGAAATGAGTTCCATTGTAGTATGCTTCGGCTTCAACAGCTACGACGATTGTTTGGCAGTCTGATGTGGGCAGAATCATGTCAGGCAGGGATCCAACTGTATGATAATAACAAATCTCAGACCTTGTACACTGTTTTATAGTTTATTATAATGCTACCGTAATACATACATGTAAAGTGTGTTTTACATACATACATACATACATACATACATACATACATACATACATACATACATACATACATACATACATTCTTATATGTCAGTACGACTTCAAAAGATGAAAAACGATCAACAATGTTTTGAAAACGATATAAATCTGATTAGGACATTCCGTTATTTCATCTATCAACTTGTGAAAAGAATACTGTTTCTTTGGAGGTTATAGAAGCAGTTTTTTTACCTGTGATTTATCTATATTACCTGCTATCACTTAGGCAACATCCAGAGATTGTTTGTCATATTACCTGTGATGGTGTGGACTAGGTCAGGAGATTGTCTACTAGTATATATATTACCTGTGGTGATATAAACTAGGTCAGAGGTTATTATTAGTATCTATATTACCTGTGATGGTAAGGACTAGGTCAGGAGATTGTCTACTAGTATATATATTATCTGTGATGGTAGGAACTAGGTCAGGAGATTGTCTACTAGTATATATATTACCTGTGATGGTAAGGACTGGGTCAGAGTTTGTCCACTAGTATATATATTACCTGTGATAGTAAGAACTAGGTCAGGAGATTGTCTACTAGTATATATATTACCTGTGATGGTAAGGACTGGGTCAGAGATTGTCTACTAGTATATATATTACCTGTGATGGTAAGAACTAGGTCAGGAGATTGTCTACTAGTATATATATTACCTGTGATGGTAAGGACTGGGTCAGAGATTGTCTACTAGTATATATATTACCTGTGATGGTGTGGACTACATCCAGAGTTTGTTTCATTTTATCGTAACGTCTGTAAACCTTCACCATTCCGTTCTCTTTGTTCAAAAGATTATCCATCGAAACAAGCAGGTGGTTACCACAGAACTCCACGTCCAACAGTTCAACATCCATAATCATCGTCTTTAAGATCATCGTCGGATTGGAAGGATCGCTGATATCGTAAGCATGTAGTAGATTACCGCCTGACAAAACATCAAATATAACTCGTGATAACCGCTCCATTATAGAAATACTAGACGGTCAAAGAGACTGTGACGTCACATTGCTTATTCTACTCGTGCACTGTTTCAGCTTTTACTGAGATTGCACAAAAGAAGAAGATAATATCATATTTCAATACAAATTTAGAATTAGATATCGCAGATTAATAAATAAAACTTGATCATACAGCTGATTCTTCCTTCTGGAACCCGTCATTGGCCTAAAATTTGAAACCTTGCAGGCGACTGAGGAAAATTCAAAGTGATAGAAAGAAAAGTCAAAATCTATAGGGAGAAATGTACTAGCCCCATTATCAAATAATTTTCTTGAATTTCAAGATAAAGGACCTAAAAGTCTAGCATCTACAATCTCGAGGATTGTACAAGAGACAAGAGTGAATAGAACCTTTTAAACAAATTTGGAATAAGATATATTTTTTTTCATTTTTTTTAAAGAAAAAGCCAATCTAAATGTCGACTGCAGAAAATCCCAAGTGATCAAAAGACTTATAAAGCTAATGCACATCCTTATCTACACTCTGGCTTTACTTTCGATATCAATTTCTCCTCTGACACATTCTAGGTTTGACATCACTGTTTTTCTACCAAACATTTCAACATACGATTTGACAAGTTAAAACAGAAAAAAGCTAGAAAGACTTACCAATGACGTAGACAACATGTTGATTAGGGTCGTAAGCTGACTGAGTGGCTGAACCGGAGTTATACTTATATTGTCCGACTCCATCAATATAAGCATAAGGCAGGAAAATGGTAGACATTTCTTCCAGATGGATCTTCTTCAAAGGTGCGCATGTTGTCACGGTAATGCAAACTGCCAATGTAAAGATGAAGACAATACTGTTTAGTCGTGCCATGATGATCCTGATGTTGTATTCTGTATGGAAATACTTGACAGAAGTCCTTTTATAGAGGCACAATGTGACCTCACCTTGATCCAGAGGTGACGACCCTGTTAAACTGTATAGACATATCGCTACAAAGTACATCGTACGCATGACGCTGATGTGAACACGCATGGGGAACCTGTGGTTACTATTGGGATACTTAACATGTTATCTTGAAAACGACGTATCAGCAAAAAGTATGATTGGACAAATTTAATTTTACTGACTATCACGAATAATTGGATCATCTATACAATTAATCGTTTTATGATGTTTTAGACGAAATGAAAGACAAATAACGGTCTTACGCTGTTTCTAGGTGATCTATTTACTTGTATTTCTCTTCCCAGTTCATGTTTCAGAAACTCTCTTCGGATCAAAACTATATATTTTTTTTAACTGCAACAAGAAAAAAAAGACAACACTTAATGACGTTATTAAAAATTACAGTTTAATGCGACATTATAAATAATAAAAATAACTTGAGAAATTTTGAAAGAGATACAGTCTTCAAACGTAATAAATCAGCATCTTCACATGTAAAAGGTCAAGGCCATCAAAAATAGCGAGTTGATCATCGTCCAGGTTTTTTTTAAAATCTAGATTAGTCTTAGATATAGCACCACAAAATATAAAAGTATACGTAACATCAAGAAAGTGCCAACATGGCGATATAATCATAATACAAACTCAAATTCCATAAAACCAGGGCAAGATATTAACAAAAAAGATATTTACACGGAGACTCCTGAATAAGTACAAGGAGAATAAGGCCATGTGTTCCGGAAGGGTAAGCGTCCTTTGCTTCATCGACGACACCTGCCATGTAAATCTTGGTCAATCCATGTTAGTAATGCTACGTTCTCAAATGATAACAAGGTATACAACAACAGAACCAACAGGCAAACTAACGAGCATCACAACACTTCCAACTTCATATCACACAATGAAATAGAATATTTCTGAATGAGATCACTATGGCGATCAGAAAACTTTCAGCAAATTTTCAGCAAATGCATCTTTTAAACCCCTGTGTTACGAGTTTGTCAGTCAGTTGACGACTTCTTGCACGAAAATCGTAATAATGGGAACAGGTCGTTGATTATCGATTCAACTTTGATATGTAAATAACATAGGGAGGAGATACATGGTAAGCAGAACAAAGCTAAAAGATGTATAACACCGCATCAACACAAAGGAATGTCAACAACGTTTACTATACAAAGACACACACACGTGAACAATGTCCACTACAGTGTACATACAAAGTAAAGTAGACCATTAACTTCGGTCGTATCGCTGGATATCTGTTATATAATCATTCTACCGGGAATATAGGTATTACTACATAGCCTTACATGCCTGGAACTTTGTTTGTAACGTAAGTAAGGTGTGATGAAAGGATTCACACAATGTGAATAGCTCCTTTTAATACAAACTTAGATACAGTAAAGTCAAGCAATGAATTAGTCCACATCATACAGCTGTTTCCAGGACTCTCCAGTGATATCAAGGGCTTGGATTATAAAACCTTGGACGATACTGAAGATAATCAAAAATGATAGAAACAAAGGTCGTCAAAATCTAGATAATCATTTTAAACTTCAAGTACGAGTGTTCTTAACGTGATGACAGTGATTGTTAAAACGACCAGAAATGATGTGTTCTGCCTGTGAATGGGAGTGCTTTATCAGACAAATACAGACTATACAATCCTGGTACTACTGAGAACTCGACATTCTTTGAGATTTAAAATAGATGATTTACAATAAAAATCTTTTATAAGAGGATTGTCGTCTCTTTACGTTATTTCCTTCTCTTGTCTAGTTTCATATTTGAATTAATTATAGAGCCTATAAAATAGAAACACAGTTTTCCAGCTTCAAATTGGACAAGGAGACAATAATTGGTATTGTCCATCATATAAACCCACCACGATTGGAAACCATGACGAGAGGCTCGTGATTTCAATTTCCCCACTGTTAGTTCTTCTTGTTAGCAATAACCCTAATTCTCAACTATTTGTTTTCGATACCACTGTTTCCATGAAAGATGACGAAGAATTTACGACACAGATTTTTGAAAAAGGCATGTTGATGAAGATTATTGGGGATGTAGGTTGAGGTTATGGTCTACATCGTGATATCGCCTCTATTCTCGTTAGTATGACAGGTAGTTTCGTTGTTTATAAATCAGGTTCTCGTTTTGGAACATTAGTTCACTTGGAATGACCTAGGTTTACATGGATGTTGCCGAAGGTTGAAAAATTACCCTTCAAGAACTTATGTTGACATGTTCGTAATTGCTTGATTTTTTTTCTCCTTGTTCTTTTCCAGTGGTCTTCGTCTCTCGTTCGTGCTCTTATCGTGTCCGTATACAGCTCTCTAATTTATTTGAAAACATCATGTTAAGACAAGAATTAAATTATTAAATTCAGTTGAACCGAACCTGAGAAGTGTTATCATCTTTAAAGTATAATTGTCATCCTCGGACGTCCTAAATGGTGTCTTTCAGATGTATTCTTTGCAATGACGCTATCAATTAAATGTTCAGTAAAGGGATACTAATACTTTACAGTCGGACTAGGATACTGATACCATGTTATTATGTAACTTTTCATATCTCTGGAATGTGTCAAAGGTCAGACATGTTTCATTTTTAAAAGGTACATGTTTGACCTTGTCTGCTACATAGAACACGATACACGTATTACACTGGTGTTTACACCGTTCGGAAGGCGTCGTTAGTGATATTTTCATAATGCTAAGAGGTTACAAAACTCGCATTCCTGCTCTGAATATTCATAGTTCTTGAAATAGACAGGTCTGAATGGGAAGCCTTAATAAGCAGACTACAACAAATAAGATTTATATTTTTTTACAAAATGCATAATGGACTGACTCATTCATAACATACATTGTTACCAGGTTTAGGTGGAGATAGAAACCCATACCTATTGAGAAATAATAGAAATTATCTTATTTCAAATTATAATCAAGTACTAGGTAATCATTTACACCAACAAACATCAGACAGTGGATAACTCTAGAAAACAATCGGAAACCAACCAACTCGGAATGCCTTTAAAAACTCTATATGTAAAAATCACCAGAATCCTCCGACCTATTTTAACTCGTCATCTTAATATTCTACTTTCTAGGTTTAGAATGAATGACAGTGCATTAAATAATTATCTTTGTCGTGTAATTCATTCCCCATCTTGTGCTTGAAGTTATCCCTGTGGAAATTCATACCATTTTTCGTTGATACCACTTCATAAAAAAAAAAATAGCTATGATAAGTTGATTAAGTTACGTCGGTATCAACCATTATTTCTGGATAGGTTTCTACATGATAGGGTTGATCTAACATTAGATCAACACTATTTTGGAATCTGTTGAAATACTATTCGTTAAAATAAGTTTTATATAGTCTTGTAGAGCATGTGAAATCACCCTACAAACTATCATTTCATTCCTCGTCGTTCTATCCAACCTTCCTAATCCTACCACGACCTTTTCTGGAAACTTTGAAACTTTCTCAATCAAGAGTCACGTGTAAATAAAACAATAACTTAAAGCCTTGTCAAACTAGGGACACGTGTAAAATGTATGCATTTTAAAAATATTTTCACACAAACGGTACTAGACGTATTACCAAGCTAAGAACGCAGCTAGCACTAACTTTCCTACAACGAAACCAACATGGTCATCTTTCTACCAAGCTGCATGATGAGTGTGATGATAGCTGCATCACCAGCCTATAGTGTGTACATGTCACACTTCATTCAATATTCAAGGGTCTGTTCCAAGTATCAATATTTTCGAGCAACTGGCGGACAAATACGTAACACAGGGTTTCAAATGATGCAGGTTGATAAAAATTATTGAGACGTTTTCATAGTGATCTTATTGAGAAATATTCTATTTCTTTGTGCGACATGAAGCTGGGCATGTTTGATGCTTTTTATTCTGTCTGTTGGTTCCGTCGTTGTATACTTTGTTCTCATCTGAGAACGTGACATCACTTACTTGGCTTGACCGTGGCATTCATGTCGAGTGTCGTCGATGAAGCAGAAGACCTTTACTCTTCCAGAAATCTGGTTATATTTTCCTTGTACTTTTCATGAGTCTCCATGTAAATATCTTTTTTGTTCATATTTTCCTAGTTTTATTGAATTTGCGTTTGCATTACAATAATGTTGACATGTTGGTATTTTCTCGTTACTGTTTATAACGACATCAACATTACTACACCCTGTAATTTCTCAATCGAAAAATTAAGTGAGGTACGAGGACATCAGTCGTACAATGGTTTAATGCTACGTTTCCGTATCATTTGATCTCTGGTGACCTAGTACTCCTGTTTGTTACCCTGAACTATGTACAGACTGACCTCCACTTGGGACAGGATTATAATCACATTTGACGTCACCAGAGATATGGGCTCCAGTGGAATAGTTAGATAATAATGAAATTATTGTGTAAAATTTGATAGAATATAGAAAATATCGACGGCTATATCACGATAGGATTAATTTCCATTGTGATCAAGATGGTGACCATAATATTTACAAAATAATCTCCTTAACGTTTACCAGGAGACGTATACAACGCTTATTATAGACGTATATAACGCATATGTATTATATACTATATAACGTATTGTATTATAGACTATATAATGTATTGTATTATAGACTATATAATGTATTGTATTATAGACTATATAACGTATTGTATTATAGACTATATAATGTATTGTATTATAGACTATATAACGTATTGTATTATAGACTATATAATGTATTGTATTATAGACTATATAATGTATTGTATTATAGACTATATAACGTATTGTATTATAGACTATATAATGTATTGTATTATAGACTATATAATGTATTGTATTATAGACTATATAATGTATTGTAATATAGACTATGTAATGTTTTTTAATGTAGACGTATA